ATAGTCAGAATGGCAAGATATTCATGGACAAGTGGGGACTGCAGCTGACCCCTGATTGGGGAGTAAGATTTGGGGAGGATCTTAGTTGGTTGGGCTTTTGTAACAAAATATTTTAGACTGGGTGGATTACAAACAGCAGAAATTTATTTCTCACAGTTCTGGAGACTGCAAAGTCTAAGATCAAGCAGATTCAGTGTCTGGTGGACGTCACTTCCTGGTTTACAGATGTCTTCTCACTATTACCTCGCATGGTGGCAGCGATGAGGGATCTCCCTGGGGTCTCTTATAGGGACACTAATCCTATTCATGAGGGCTCACCCTCCCAATCTAATCATCTTCCAAATGCCCCACCTCCAAATATCATTATATTGGCGGTTAGGATTTCAACAAAAATCTTGGGAGGGTGGGGAGAGACAAACATTCAGTCTGTAGTAGACAGGAAAAGAATGAGGGGAAGGGCATTCTCACTGAGGAACCCAGAATAACCAGAGAAGTAGGAATTTACATAGCATACTCTTGGGATAATAAGGGGAACAAGTTGGAAAGGTCTATTAGGAATACTTGGGAGAAATGAGAAAGAAATTTGACATTTTTATGTGGGGTCAATTTATGGAGCATCCAATTAGTTTAGAAGCAATCATTTCACCCATGCTTCTGGCCCTGGCTTTCTTTTGTTCTTACATCTACATTATTTTTCATGATGCTAATGATGCCCTCTGTCAAAGAGCATCTTTCTAGCTTACAATGATTCTCACTCCTCCTTAACTATGGAGTGTGGGTTAATTCCTAGAGCAGTGTTGTGGTTTGATTCTAATGTCCGTTGATTGAACTGCAGATGGTTCACTCATTCTACTAGAACAGAGATGCCATTCTAGCAATATGCACTTGAGACTGAAGGTAATTGAATCAACCTATTTCTTTCTTCATGGAGCTGGAAGTAACATGGGATCCTGGGAGCTGTGGGCAGCCATCATGTCTGCCACATGGAACAGGAAGCTGAGAAATCTATTCTTCCCGGGAAAAGAAAGAGACAGATGCACGGAGTGAGGCAAGGGCATGTAACAGAGCTCTCCTGGTTTCTGATGGTCTTCCAGCTCTTATTTCTACGGCTTACCCGGCTACAATTCTGCTCTTGGAATCTGAGAAACACTCTATCTTTTATAATCAATCCCCTCTTCCTGCTTAAGTGAACTTGGCCTAGGCTTCTATTATTAGAAACCCAACGAACCCTAACAGAGTGGTGAATAAATAGACTTCACCGAAACCTGCTGTCCTTTACTTTTGGACGTGCTCTCTCAATTTCTGCTCTAAGGACAAGCTTCCTTTCATCTGTCTTTGCTCAACATCTCTGTGACTATATTGCTGTCTCATACATCTGAGTGTTACAGTCTCTACGACCCTCTCTGTCCCTGTCCCTAGATCCCTTCCCAGCTTCCTTTGATTTCTCTTTACTTTCTGTCCTTGAATGAAATGCTAACAAAGAAACACAGAAAGGCTGGGAGTATAATTTATATATGCCTGAGGCTTATGAACAGATAATGGGTTCATTAGCTCAATTCTCCCGGGATCTGTGATGCAGAGGGATAGGACACAAGGTTTAAAAATGAATACGCTATTCAGATCCTGTTATGGTACAGCTTCTCTCTGCAGCCCGAGTTATCCTGGAGGCCACAGGAGGGATGAGGCCGCCCCTGCTAATGGAACTCTCGAAGCACCAGTGCCAGCTGTGTCCCCTGCCCTCTGCTTCTCACGGCCTCAGTCACAGTGGGTTCTGCCAGATGTACATAACGCCACTGCCGCCGTACAGAACTCAAAGTGGTCACTTCTCTGCCTGCAGAATCACATACATGGGATCTTCAGAGAAAAGCCCTTTCTTGCCAACAGGATCATGCAGGGAAAGTAGGAGGAGAAGCCTCAGTGCTCAGAAGCCTTTGAAGGGAGTCCTGAAGGCAAATAACCAAGCCCTAAACCAGCTAGCTGACAACACTATCAACACAGTCGCAGTTTAGCCAACAGCTTGAACTAAAAATAATCTGACACTTTGCCACAGCATGCCTGCCTGGCTCTGATGTGCAGGACAAAGGCTGAGTGATAAGCTGCTGCTGTATTTCCAACAACGTGAGGTCTAATGACAGAGCAAGGGTCCAGAGATGTGGATGCGAAGATAGCCTAGGAAGATCACCACCTAGCACTCAGTTTGTTAGATAAACGCTTTCTCTTTCTTACAGTGGCCATGCCTCTGGTGTCTTGAGAAGTAGTATAGGAAGGGAGTCAGGGTGTGGTGCTGCCTTCTTTCTGATAATATCTGGTGATTATGCTTCCTGCGTATCTTATTTATGTGATAGGTCTTGTTCATATTTTTTTGTAACCCCCTCCTAAACTAGGAGATCCCTGAGGGCAAGAGCCATGTCTTCCTCTCTCTCTCTCCATCTCTGCATCTCTAGGACCTAGCATGGTCTGGCTGTTTAAAAAGCTGTAAACAAAGTACTTATTAGATAAAAGAATAAATGAACAACTGATAATTGGCCCAAATTCAACCTTATGATGAGGGTCTGGGAAAGCTTCTCAAAGGATGTAATGATTGATCTGAGTCTTCACGGAGTCGCCAGAGTTTAAAGCAGAAGAATTGAAAGGAGGAGAGTGAATGTTCTAGGCAGAAAAAAAGGAGATGAAGCCAAAAAGAGGGGCAGAGGCCAGAAGGACCTTGCATACTCTGTTAAAGAGTTTGAATTTTATTTTAAAGGTGATGGGAATCATGAAAAGATTTTCTGTGTGAGAGGAACATAATGAGATTTTCTTAGAGAAAATTTTCTTTGGTAGCAATGTGGAGGATAATTGATGGCAGGGATGGAGACAGGGTTGAGATGGATTTCAGGGATCAACTAGGAGCCCCCTGCAGTCAGTAATTCAGGTGAGGGAGGATGGAGGTCTGATTTATGGTTGAAAAGGCCTATTTCTGTCCTCTTCCTCCCACTGCTGGCTTTTCATCACCTCTAACACCATCACAACCTCCTTCAGGAGCCAGATCTGAGGATCCTGAGGAGTAAGAGAAAATGCCAACCACAATAGCGCTTCACAAATACTTTTATCTTAGTTGGGCCACCCTGAAAGGCAAAGTGACATTTTCCAGAAGGCCCATGGGCAGAAGCTTCCTCTCTCCCCATCCCTCCCAAAGAAGCACCAAATGACTCTTTTTGATGCCATTGTCTTTGAACCCCCTCACTTCTTGCAGCAGATTTTGTGCCTACCTTCCACACTGTACTTTTTCAGCAAGGGAGTGAAAAAGAAGAGGCAAAGGGAAAAGAGGAAAAGAGGAAGGTGTTGTAAAGGAGCAAGGCAAATGGTGAGTTCCCTGTATTTATCTCATTCATGAATAAGAAGAGTTAAAGCTGTGGAAAGAAGAGAAGATGGGCCTACATGGCCCCATTATCAGAACTCAAAAAAGATTAGGACAGACAGATGCCCATGGATATTTGCTCAGCTTATTTATGAAGAAAGACTCTCCAGCCCATATCTGATGGGAGTTAGAAGGAGCAAACCCCAGGTGTCTGGCTGGCTCAGTTAGTAGAGCTTGTATAAGACTCTTGATCTCAGGGTCATGAGTTCAAGGCCCACATCAGGTGTGGAGTTTACTTAAAAAAAAAAAAAAAATGGAGGAGGAGGAGCAAATCTTTTCCCTAGGTTCTTCTTCTTCTTCTTTTTTTTTTTTTTTAAGGCTTTATTTATTTAGTTGAGAGAGAGAGAGCATGAGCAGGAGGGAGAGAGAGAAGGAGAAGCAGACTAACCAATGAGCAGGGAGCCCCACTTGGGGGTTGATTCCAGGGTCCTGGGATTATGACCTGAGCCAAAGGTGACAGTTAACTCACTGACCCAACCAGGTGCCCCTCCCCTAGGTTCTTTACCATGGCTATACATTGAAACTAACTGACAACTTAAAAAAAAAAAAAAAGGCAAAAAACCAAACCTGATGCCTGATTCATACCCCAAGAGACTCTAATTTAATTGTTCTAGAGTATGGTCTTAGAATTGATCTTTCCAGAGCTCCCTGGGTAACGTGAATGTACAGGTGAGCTGAGAACCACTGTTCTAGACGGGGGATCAGCAAACTTTTCTGTAAAAGGCCAGACAGTAAATATTTTGTTTTGTGGACCACATTGTCTCTCTTGCAACTACTCTGCTCTGCTATTGTGGTGAGAAAGTAGCCATAGACAATGTGTACATGAATGGGTATGTTCTAATAAAACCTTGATCTGGCTCACAAGCCTTAATTCTTTTACCTTTGCTCTAGAAGCATACTTCCAAGGTTGGGAGGGTTGTTCAGGTTGCTAACTCTGGTATGGAGGAAACAGGAAAAATATTCTAGTTTTAAAAAGGAATTTTGGCATTTGGATGAATGTTCTAGCTTTATTTTAAAAAAATGAGATATGTTTCTGAGTTCCATTTGATAAAATACTTTCATTAACCCACTATGTTGTTTGACTTCTTAGGGAGACCATGTGTGATTTTTGTGTTTTGAAGGAAAAAAAATCCAATAAGTTATTAAATACAACCTACAGTGGTGAAAAGAAAGATTAATCATGACAGACAATTAAACTTAGAACCTAAACCAAGACAGAAAAGCTAAAACCCAAATGAAAAGACAGTCTCTACAGAATCAGGGAGGTCAGCTGGTGACCTGGTAAGTTTTGTGTTTTTTCCAATTTCCTTGGCTAGAATTCAATCATGAGTTTGTTTTTTGTTTGTCTCTTCTGCCGTTATTATTCTGTTTTTAATCCTACGTGGAGAACCAGTTTTAATTTATGCTGTCATTTTCTTCTGGAGAAATTTGGAGAAGATAAAGCACATTAGAAAAATGAACTTTTTGCCCAATTATTAAGTTTCTCTCTTGCCCTCACTGCTTTCATAACTCTCCATAGAAGGGGAGTTAAAGGACAGAGGCCTGCAAACCATGCTCCTTATAATGAAGGCTGGAGGGTCTGTGTGGGTGATGTGGTCCTTACCTTTATCCTGTCGATGTTGGCTTCCATCTTTAGCTGTTCTACCAGCTTCCTGGCTTGTGCTATGCTGGCGGTATTGTTGCTAGCCATTGGAATGCTAGGTGGGTTTTTCAGATACACTAGGAAAGAACACAGGAAGGAAGAATGCATCAGGGCATTCAGGAGCTGCCAAACGTACAGGTTCATCATCATGGGGGAACTTCGAAAGAGTGGCTGTGTTGAGGCCTGGCTCTCCCAGCCCTCTCCATCCCCAGTCCAGTGCCAAGTCTGACTGCAGGCAGACCAGGAGATGACTGTGTGCTTGTGGTTTTCCAGAACCCCCCACCCCACCCCAACACACACACACACACACACCCCTCTGCACTTCTACCCCTTCTTCAGGGAAAACCAATGAAGATTGTTTACCAAATAAGTTAGAATAAGATACGCTGGGGCACCTGGGTGGCTCAGTGGGTTAAGCCGCTGCCTTCGGCTCAGGTCATGATCTCAGGGTCCTGGGATCTAGTCCCACATCGGGCTCTCTGCTCAGCAGGGAGCCTGCTTCCCTCTCTCTCTCTGCCTGCCTCTCTGTCTATTTGTGATCTCTGTCTGTCAAATAAATAAATAAAATCTTAAAAAAAAAAGAATAAGATGCGCTGCTGATTAAGAAAGAAAGTCTTAAGGGTGACAGAGGCGTTATAAGTGTTGTTATTTTTCAGGTACTACTATGGTCAGATACTCTGTTTAAGTGCCCTCAGAGGATGAAGAATGAAAGGCAAGCAGAGAGGAATGGTAAAGTAATCCCTTAGGATTAAAGACACCAAGTTTATAATGTTCTGCTGGTGGGTTCCAACACTAACTTTCTAGTTAACTGTAGCCACCTCAGTCTATCACACTGCAGAGATGCTGCATAGGATGTGTGGTTCTTCAGTGTTGTTTATCCAGCATTTTAAAAAAAATAGCCTTTTCTCTCTATTTGAAATATGGCTAGACACAACTATTTACTTCACTCACAGTTCTTCATCTGCAATGTCAAGGGGGAAGGATTGCCATGTCTAACTTGTTAATGACATCAATGAGTTCACCAGCAGAATTCTGAATTCAGTATAATGGACTTATTACTTTTATAAATATGTAAATGGGACACAAATGTTTAGAGAATGGAGTTCTGTACTTATGTAAATTATGAGATGGTTTCTTTGCCTCTGGGATTACCAGATCTCCTCCCCATCCTTTCCCCTACCCGCTTCATGTCCTAACCCAATTTCATTTCTCTTCTAATTCTTTCTTGACCCACCATCTCAATTTTTTTGTTGTTGTTCATCACGGAAAGTACCCTATTTTATTTTGGGGGCCCATTTCCTCCACATTCGGATCAGGTCTCGCTCAATGTCAAGGTGCAATATGCTATTTTGGGTCTGTGTAAATGTGCTCTTTGAGGTCACTGACACCCCACAGTGAAGCAGTGTCTGAGAGCAGCAATTTAGCTGGAGTGCATGACCCAAGAAATGAGAGGCATTCAAGCCTTGCTTCAGTCAACAGTTGAGTCCTGTTCTGAAGACATATTAAAAAGTGTGACTTCTGCTAGCTTTGGGGAATATTTTTATCCAGCGGTAAAGTAAAATCAGGTAACCATCTCAAGAAGGAAAGAGGACACATAGAAAACCTGGGAAACGAAATATAATCCCTGGTAAATTCAATACAAGACTGTTACTTATTCAGTAAAATCAAAAAACAATTTTTAATTACCAAAAGAGCATAAATATGTAAATTATCTTCTTTGGTTCTTATATCTTTGTATCTTGTTCTTCAAGGCAAAAGAAGAAATTATGTATAAGTCTTTGTAAACAAAGAGGTCCCTTCATAGTGTTATTTTATAAAGAAAACTGCAAAATCAGCCACCCCAACAGCATAGCATTTACAGTATAATTGAAAGATAATTAACCGTTCCCTCCACTTATTTTCAAAGACATCAGAGACAATAAAATGGAAAGGAAGACTGAAGGGATTTTGAATCCACAAAGATCTCTGAGCTCTACTTCCATGGGCTTGAAGATCAGCGGAGGGATCTTTATGTAAAAAGAAAACAAACAAAAAAAAAACAAGAAGAGGCTTTAACAACTATGACTTCATCAGCATAATTAGGAACCCAATCATCTCAGCCCCACAAGGAAATTATATGTCCCCAGATCAAACAAAAATCTAACACCCATGCAAAACGTCACAGGACCAAGATGGAATCTTGATTTACCCAGAAGCATAGCCTAACTCTTTTCATTCATCCAAAGTTGGAAGTAGTCGTGATCTACAAGACCCTGGACACTGTTTTGTGAAGCTAACATTCCTTCCAAACTAGAATTTATCACACTAGAATACAGATTATCACAGAATTGCCAAATTCTCATTGGGCCTGAGGGAGATGTGGGAGTCTGGCCAACTCTTCATCTGCCCTTGAATCTAAATCAGATTACACAGTAACCTGTGTCAGAAACCATAGCTTGCCTCCAAATACCACTTCTCCTCTTCTTTATTGGTAATAACAATTTGCATTTCTTTTTCACAGAGCCCACGAGAACCCTGAATTTTAGCTGGGCATACTTTACTGAAATATACATTCTTCAGCCTCCTTTGCTGGTCAGTATACTTAGACGACCAAGTTTTGGCCAATGAGGAATAAGTAGAAGCGCCCTTGAAAGGAGAAGGGTGTGCTCTTTGCCTCCCCCTCCTCCTGATACTGGCCTGGAAGACGGTCTTGTTGACTACAGAGCTTCACCTTGAACCTTTAGGTTTATACTCTGGGGTAAGCAGGAAGGATCTGGACACATACTGGCACCATGCCAGCTGCGAACTGGCTATCATCTATGTGAAGAGAAATAAATACCCACTTTGTTTACACCACCATTATTAAGAGTATTTCTGCCATTGGACAATAGATTTACCATCACCTGAGTAAATGACCCAATATTTTCATTTGAGTATCTAGGAAATTCTATGTTCTAATGCCTGTTCATGTTTCCTGGGAAAGTTATGGCTTTCTGTCTTAGGAGACTAAGATAGAAAGTGTATGAGTTTTCTATTGCTACCATATAATATTACTACAAATGTAGGAGCTTAAACAATAGGAATTTCTTATCTTGCAGTTCTGGAGGTCAGAAGTTTGAAATAGGTCTCACTGGGCTAAAATCAAGGTATCAGCAGAGCGGTATTCCTTTTGGAGTCTGTAAGGGAAAATCTATTTCCTTGCCTCTCCCTAGCTTCTAGGAGCTACTGGCATTCTTTGGCTCTTGGTCCTATTCCTCATTTTCAAAGCCAGCAAAGGTGAGTTGAGTTATTCTTACATCATATCACTCTGACCTCTTCTACAGTCACATCCCCTTCTAACTCTGCTCTCTTCCTTCCTCCACTTTTAAGAACCTGGCAACTCTACTGCCCCCTACCCCAGATAACCCAGGACAACCTCCCTATCTTTAGGCCAGCTTGACTAGCAACCTTAATTCCATCTGCATCTTTAACTGCCCTTTGCCATTAACATAGCATAGGCATACATTCCAGGAATGGAGACATGGACACTTTTGGGGGACTTCATTCTACCTACTATGGAAGAAGACCTCTGCATGGCAGAAGAGAAGTGGGGAGATGGGGACTGAGATAGAAAAAGAAGAGAGAAGGGGGTAGGATGCAAGTCTAGAAATGTTGGGGAGAGAAAACCTCTGAAAACTAAATGGACTTAGCAGAAAAAGTAAACACAGGCTTTGGTTATAGGAAGATACATCCTCAATGTTCTAGTTTTACTATATGACCCAAAAGAATCTAGTGTTTCCTATTAGGGATTTACCCCAAAGATGCAAATGTGGTGATCTGAAGGGGCACATGCACCCCAATGTTTATAGTAGCAATGTCCACATTAGCTAAACTATGGAAGGAGCCCACACGTCTATTGACAGATGAATGGATAAAGAAGATGTGGTATACACACACACACAGGAATACTACTCAGCCATCAAAAAAATGAAATCTTGCCATTTGCAATGACGTGAATGGAACTAGAGGGTTATATGCTAAGTGAAATAAGTCAATCAGAAAGGACAATTATATTATCTCAATATGTGGAATTTAGGAAACAAAACAGAGCATAGGGGAAGAGGAAAAATAGGGGGATAGAGGGAAAAATAAAACAAGATGAAACCAGAGAGGGAGATAAACCATAAGAGACTCTAAATCATAGGAAACAAACTGAGGGTTGCTGGAAGTAAGGGGCTGGAGATATGGGGTAACTGGGTGATGGACATTAAGGAGGGCATGTGATATAATGAGCACTAGGTACTATTTAAGACTGATGAATTGCTGACCTCTACCTCTGAAACTAATAATACATTGTATGTTAATTAATTGAATTTAAATTTTAAAAAGTCAAGTGTCACACTTATTTATTTTTTAAAATATTTATTTGAGAAAGAGGGCGAGAGAAAGAGAGAGAGAGAGAGAGAGAGAGAATGCAAGCGTGAGCAGGAGGGGCAGAGGGAGAGGAGAAGCTCAAGCAGACTCCATGCTGAGCACAGAGCCTGACTTGAGGCTCAGTCCCAGGACCCTGAGATCACGATCTGAGCCAAAATCAAGAGTGGAACACCTAACCAGCTGTGCCACCCAGGCGCCTCAAGCTGTTAGAATCACTTTGTGCATTTTCTTCTTTTTCACCTCCAGCTGCTTTCCCATAAAATCCTTCTCCTGAAGACTGAAAGCGCTATAGGTTCCTAGACCAGTGTTCCAAAGAAATACGTATTTTCCTAAAAAGTGGCTATGGTAAATAAGAAAAGTTAGTCTGTCTTCTAAGCCTGAGGTACTTGGACAATGCATCACACACACGGACATGCTCAGAATGCTTTTCATCTTATAAAACAGAAACTCTGTACCCAATAAACAGAAATCCCATTCTTTCCTTCCCTCAGCCCCAGAAACCACCTTCTGTTTTCTGTTTCTATGATTTTTGGCTACTCTAGGTATCTTGTAGAAGTGGAATCATACAGTATTTATCTTTTCATGACTGGCTTATTTCACAGAGCATAATGTCTTCAAGGTTTACATCTGTCGTAGCATGTGTCAGAATCTCCTTCCTTTTTAAGGCTGAGTAATAGTTCGCTACATGTCTATACCACATTTTGCTTATCCATTCATCTGTTGAAAACACTTCCATTGCTTCCACATTTTAGCTACTGTGAATAATACTCCCATGGACAAGGGTGTGCAAATATCTCTTCAAGACCCTACTTTCAATTCTTTTGGGTATATACCTAGAAGTGGAATTGCTGGGGCATATGGTAAATCTATTTTTAACTTTTTGAGGAATAGCCATCCTGATTTTTGTAGCAGCTATGCCATTTTACATTCCCACAAAAAGTGCACATGGGATCCAATTTCTCATCTTCCCAACACTATTTTCCATTTTTGTTTTTTTGATAGTGGTCATCTTAACGGGTGTGAGGTGGTATCTCATTGTGGTTCTCATTTGCATTCCCTAATGATCAGTGATGTTAGGCATCTTTTCAAGTACTTATTGACCATTTGTTTATGTCCTTTGGAGAAATACATGTTCAAATCCTTTGCCCATTTAAAAAAAAGATTTTATTATTTTTACATGATCTCCACACCCAAGGTAGGGCTAAAACTCACAACCCTGAGATCAAGAGCAGCACACTCCACCAACCAGGCCAGCCAGGTGCCCCCCACCTTTGCCTATTTTTGAATCAGGTTTTTTTGGTTGTTGAGTTTTAGCTCTCTCTATATTCTGGATATTAACCTCTTCTCATATATATGGGATTTAGATACATTTTCCTTCATTCCATAGATTGCCTTTTCACTCTGTTAATATTGTGCTTTGAGGCACAAGAGTTTTTAATTTTCATAAAGTCCAAATTTCTTTTGTTGCCTGTGCCTCTGGTGTCATATCCAGGAAATCCAATGTTGTGAAGTTTTTGCTCTATGTTCTCCTTCTGAGAGTTATAGAGGTTTAGCTCTTACCTTTAGGTCTTTGATGCACCTGCAGTTAATTTTTGTATATGGTGTTGGGTAAGGGTTCAACTTCATTCTTTTACACGTGGATACTAGCTTTCCCAGCACCATTTGTTGAACAGATTGTCTTTTACAAGTTGAATGGTCTTGTCACCCTTCTTGAAAATCATTTAACTGTATATGTGAGGATTTATTTCTGGGCTCTCTAATCCCAAGTTAATTCTCTTCTAAGTCCCTAAATATTTTATTATTTTTGACACTACTATCAAATGGAATTGTTTCCTTAATATCCTTTCCAGATTGTTCCTTGTTCATGTAGACAAGTGAAGTGCTACATCGCAGATTCCTAATGGGGGAGACAAAAACTTTTGTCTTCTGTCCTTACCCAAGCTGACAGCGATTGCATGTGGTGAGAAGTGTTGTTGAGAAACGGGTGTTGCATCCTGTGAGCACATCGGGCCAAGAGAAGTTGTTGACAGAGTCCTGTTAGGTGCTTAGGCAGAAGGACAGATGCATATCAGATACCCTTTACTAAGGTTCCTGTTTCATTCTACATCTGGCTAAAATCAGGCAGACATTATTTTAAGAGGGAAGGAAATGGTTTGAATATAGCAACCACTGAAATAGCTAAAAGAAAAAGTAAAATTCTGCTGAAATGATCATGTGAACAAAGCTTGAAAACACAGGTGTGTGTATACCCCTTTTAAAAACAAACAACAAAAAACTTTTCATTAAAAAGAGAGAATGATTAATTCCTATAGATCGCTCCCTGCTCACCCCCATCAGCTAGTCTTTGGATTG